GAAGAGCCAGCCACCAGTACTCTGCACCCATCATCCACTCTCCCTTCCCCAGGCAAGGGCAAACCATTTTCCTAATAACTTACTTATTTCCTACAAGTGTCCAGTCGAATTTTCCAGCACATGTGATCTCACAACAGACTAGGAGTTGGGAAACAGAAACAGGAGAGACTCCCAGAATTGCAAAAACAGAAAGCTGCAAACAAAGCAGAACCTAGAGAGGGAGCATAGTGCCGTGCAGACAGCAAGGCTGGCAGGCAGGGCCAACTAAGCTCTTCCATATCAGACACAGAGAGCAGGGTTTGGGGGTTTGCCCTGCTGGGTTTCAATATTTCCTCACTCTGCTTCCATTCCTCCCCTTTGGAATGTGTATTCTGTGGTATCATATGTTGAAAGCATGTAATTTGCTTTTTGATTTCATAGGGAATTGCAGTTAAGAGATCGCCTTGAGTCTCAGAAGAGACTTTTGGCATATGATGGTTTGAATGAGACTGGCCCACATAGGCTCATACATTTGAATTCTTGGTTCCCAGTTAGGGGAACTGTCTTGGTAAGGATCAGGAAGTGCCTTGGAGGAGGAAGTATGTCACTGGGGGTGGGCTTTGAGGTTTCAAAAGCCTGTACTATTCCCAGTTAGTGTATTTTTTCATCCCCCCCCCAATTTGTTGATAAGTATATAAGCTCTCAGCAGCTGGTCCAACGCCACGCCACCCACCTCCATGCTCCTTGCCATGATGCTCATGCTCTTACCCTCTGAAACTGTACCTGCTCTTGTTACAAGTAGACTCACTCAGACAGACATTCTTGTGCAGGTGTTTTAGCTTCTCTTGGATGGCACATTGGCTGTAGGTGCTGTGTCCTATGGTAGTTGTGAGGTTTGGTTTGATCATTTTGTCTTCATATGCTGCTAAACTCCCAAAGTGGCTGAAGGGATCTGCTGTTGTTTAGCAGAACTGATATGGCTCCAGGCTGCCTTCTAAATGTTTGTGTTTACAGCCACAGATAAGTGCTACTCCTCCCCTCCCCCCTTTAATCAAAGAAGCTTCACTTTGGCAGTGAATGCCAGTGAATGCAGAGATACATGTCTGCTCCAGGTGTTGAGAATAAGGGACAGTTGAGTGCTCAGCCCTAAACTGCACATTTAGACCACCCCCTCTTGAAGGCTCAGGGAACATTGCAGAAGGGAAGGCACAGTATGCATGTAATAAGGGGATGGGCTGTGAAACACTCTCCTGCACAACACATCAGTGCAGGCATGATTCCCCAACCCCAAGGCTTGTGGCCTGCACAAGCTGATGCCTTTAATTGTGTGACCACTGATGGGCCACCCAGCCTCCAGTGGGCAGTTCTAAACACAGACGACCCTGGTTACACTCAGTGGGTCACAGAATGAAGCAAGAAGACATGAATGTGGGGAAGGGGCTGGTAGGGAGGAGTGGGGGTACAGAGTGGGAGGGGGGTACAGAGGGTGGAAGAGAGGATAATCAGAATGTCTGAAATAGTCAACAAATTTAGTAAAAATTAACAAAACAGTTAAAAAGAAATAAGACACCGCCTTTCCCTTTCCAGAAAAAGATGAGACACATAATCAAAGGAACATCCCTTATAGAAGTTGTGAAAATGAGGTGTGTGAAGAAGAGGGCAAGAGCTGATGGTGGGGGATTCCAGAGAGCAGACTCCACAGAGGAGGGTGTAGTGGTGAGAAGGAACTTGCCAGGAGGATGAGAAGAGAGGGCTTTCTTAGATGCTGGCTCTTGCTGAGTCAAAGGGACTACAGATGTTTCCCATGTGACATAATTGGTAGCAACTGATGTTTGCCAGCACTTACGTATGTGTGCCGTGTGTGCCGAGGCCTGAAGAGGAAATCAGAGGCCCCGGAGTTCCAGATGGTAGTGAGCCACCGTGTAAGTGGTTGGGATGGAACCCAGGTCTTCTTAACCATTGCTCCATCTCTCCAGCCCTTCATTCACTGAGCTGTTTAACAGATAAGACAAAAACACTATCTGAAGTCTGCTTTCTATGATTGTAACAAAATACCTGGAACTACTTTATAAAGGCAGAAAACGTTTGAGAGCAACAGCCCTATCTTATCTGTTTGGCCCTGGTTCCAGAGCAGCAGAGAAAGGACAGGAAGTTGGTGACATGTTGAGATGGTATGCCAGAGAAATTCTGGACCAGGCCTTTTCTTGGACTCACTTGCTTTTGTAAGAGACTAGACAGGGTCCTGTGAGGATTGTGTTTAACTCTTCCTGGAGTGTGTCCTCGGTGACCAGAGCACCTTTCACCAGGTACCTCTCCACACCATCATGCTGTTACCAAGCTCCCTTCGCAAGGGCCTGAGGAGTGAGTGCATAAGGCTCTGGCTGGCAGACTGGGGAACAGTAGGGATTGGAAAGTGGAGCCAGGCCCCTTCCTTTGCTCAAAGCTCACTGTGTGTAATACTTCTCTTGCTGAATCACTTTGTTCACCATGTGGAATTGAGGAAGAACTTGGTTTTCCTCTTTTAGTAATTGTTGTTTGTTGTTGGAGCCAATGATAGACTGGTTCTGCAGTTTTTTCGTATTCATAGCTAATGCTTAAGGAGCACATACAATGCCCACTGATCTTTATATGGGCCCAGCTGACAGACAAAGACTTAGTAAGGTCTTGAGTCTGCTCAGTGACCAGCAAAGACTTGATCCCTCCCCCCAGGCCTACTCTGGCTCTGCTTCCCTAACTACTTGTGCTAAATTCAGTTTTGAGTGAGCATTTATTTTGCGGCAGCAAAGACATGTTTCGTGGGTGTACATAATGTAGTTGTTATTATGTTAATTTTTCTCATGAAAAGATTTTGCGATAAAATGAAAATAAAGAACTGAAGATATTTAGAGACTTAGGGAACAGCTAGAACATAATAGTCTTAAGCTAAGTGTTTTCTTAGTCATCATGTGGGAGGCTCACAGTACCATATATTTTCTTGAGGAAAAGAAAAATTAGAGTAAGCACTATCTAGAGCAAAAGATAAGTGAATTTTCTTGTAAACTAGGTGGGAAACAGAGGCTGTAGGAATTCTGAGCTAGTAGTATTGCTTCCCTTCATTTGGCACATCACAGGAAGTATTTGCTGTTTTGGTACTGAAGGAGGGAGGGTCACGAGCACTATTATTTTACTAGTCTTCAGAGGAATGGTTTATCTGAGTTTGGATCAAGCTGTCTTGCCAGAATCCTACTCCCAAGCCATGACATTTTTGTTAAATCTCTTAGAATGCTGTTGTTTGTTTTTATTTGTTAGTGTAGGTGTGTTTGAGATGTGGTCTCCGGGTGTAGTCCAGGCTGGCTTTGTACTTGCCTCAGTCTCCCAAGTGGTGGGATTATGAGTGGGTGCTGCTCTGCCCAACTTCTGTTGTTTTTAAAAATGAATACTGTATATAGAATATATACAGGGGGCTAACAAGATGGCTCAGCAGGTAAAGGCATGGAAACCTGAGTTCAATCACCAGATTCCACATGGTTAAAGAAAACTGACTCCCCCAAGTTTTTCTTTGATCTCTACATGTTCCCACTTGTGCGGTTTGCACACACACACACACACACACACACACACACACACTTATGTGAACACTAAGTAGATAATCATTTTAATGTTTTTAAAAGAGCAAACACTAGCACAGACACTGTAGAGTCCATGTGGCTGCTGCTCTTTCTGTTCTTGGGAAGGGCTCTCGGGTTTAGATTTCCCAAGTGTGTTTCTTACCTAAGATGCTTTGCCTGCTTCCTGTCCCCTGACTGAGCCGCGTGCCCTCTGGCCACTGCCTTAGGTGGTGTGCTTCTCTCCTGAGATGCCCTTATCTTACACCCACAACCCCTGCTCTGACTGGTGCTTCCTGTCACAACTCACAAGTATAGCTTTGCTTGCTTGCTTGTTTGTTTTGTTTTTACCTTTCTGAAATATTCCCAACCACAAAGCCAAACAGAATGAATCACCAATTTCTCATTCTCTCCTGCATTCTTAGCCTGTCTGTGCTTGGCTTAAGTCAGAGTGTTCATCACTTGCAGCTTGGGTTTCCTAACTGTCCTCCCTGCTCCTCCTGTCTGTGTTCCTGTTCAGCACATGTTGGAGGCTCTGCAGTGTCTACAGAAGACCTGATGCCTTACCAGAAAGGGCAGGGGCCTTCAGAAGGACAGTATCTTCCTTGAGCCTCACCTACAGGTGGAAGGTGTGTTGAAAGAGTCTGGTGTTAGAGAAGGCAGGCACACACAGCTGGCTGCTCTGAGTAAACAAGACCAAGTGAAATGTGAGCTGACCAGACACATCTAATTTGTATCCTTTCATCTGTTAATGGAATTGTAGCACTCTTTCCTTTGGAATAAGAAGTGTCTGGAGAGTTTGCACAGATGTTATTTTTACATGCTGTAGGATGTGACTTTTCCTTTATTTTGCATAGGGAGACTATTCAAATCACACATGTTTTGAAATGTATTTTTCCCATAATGTGGAACAAAGGTTTTTTTTTAATTGACAAACAGAATTATCCTTGACTGCATTTAAGAAACCCTGCCATTATTAAAGGCTGCTGAGGGCTCAGTTCAAGCAGAGCAAGTAGATATAAGTGAGATGACAAAGCCACACTGTTGGTGCCCTGGGGAATTGATTAGCCTCGAGAGTCCCAGTGGACAGTGGCGTGCAGGAGGACTCCAGTCAGTGGAGCAAGGCAGCATAATTGATTAATTAGCCTCGAGATTCCCAGTGGAAAGTGGGGTGCAAAGGGACTCTTACGTTGCTCTGGGTGACACACGGTGCCTTTGCTTTGACTCACTTTTCTCTCCTTGTTCACACCTTGGCAGAGTGAATCATACTCAACTGGCAAATTAATTTCCTTTATTATTTTTATTACTATTTTGTTTCCAATAAACTTTTTTTTTACTGACAACTTGTCAAATATTTTATTGATCTATTTACCTATCTTAATCAGTACTAATTACTTTTTTTTTTTTTCTTGGCTTTAGTTGCACGCATACTCCCAGCTGTTGGACCCATGAACGCGCTGACGTGGACACTGCTGACTCACAATGGGAACAGCCAGTGATGAGATGGTGCCGGTGGAGCAGGCTTCCTCATCCCCCTCCCTAGACCCCCTGTGCTTTGAGTGTGGCCAGCAGCACTGGGCAAGAGAAAACCACTTATACAACTACCAGGGTGAAGTGGACGACGACCTGGTCTGCCACATTTGCCTTCAGCCCCTGCTGCAGCCACTCGACACACCCTGTGGACACACATTCTGCCACAAGTGCCTCAGAAACTTCCTACAAGAGAAAGATTTCTGTCCCCTGGACCGCAAGAGACTGCATTTCAAGTTGTGTAAGAAATCCAGTATCCTGGTCCATAAACTTCTAGACAAATTACTGGTCCTATGCCCGTTTTCTTCTGTGTGCCAAGATGTGATGCAGCGGTGTGACCTAGAGGCACATCTTAGGAACAGGTGAGAACAAAGGAAGCAGGACAGGAACTGAGGAAGTGGTATAGAAGGGTGACTACAACAGTCAGGAAGGGCGCCTAGTGCCTGTAATCCCAGCAGGAGATGCTGAGGCAGAGGCTTTGAGGCTGAGCTACATGGTAAGACCCTGTCTCCAAAAATTAAAAACAGTAAAAAAATAAAGCACCAGTAAATACATGAACCAATCAAATAAGAGATGCAATTAACAAGTTGCATTGGTCTGTATTTAATAATATATCTCAAGCATGAGTGTGAAAGCCACAGTGTACAAGTACCACTTAGTAATATTTTCTTCATCATACCATGCAATTTAAACTCAAATGGGTGACAGGTGATAATACTGGATTCCTTTTATAAGGGAGCTTGGCATTAAAAAAAGAAACTAAATGCAAGCATTCGTTTGTCTAGTTTATTTTCCTAAGGAAAAATCCAGTACTAGGAAAAATTGTGCATGAAGACTTGTATTGCAACATTATGCATGGTTGTTACATTGCAGTCAATCTAATTAAGGGTGACAAAAGTCATTTGAGGTTGCACATGACTTTGGCAGGCAAATAGATCTCTGTGAGCGTAGGCCAGCCTGGTCTAGAGAGTGAAATATACCATAGAACAATGACTCACAGTTGGTGAGAATGAAACTTTTATTGGGGGAAAAGTGTGGAAATGAGTTGGCTGTTTCAGTTTGCAGAGCTCTTGAAGATTCTATGTTGAGAGGCTTGGCTGAATAAGAGTAGGGATAAGAAAAATAAATATTTAGGGGTGATTTTTATTCTAATGAACATTTGTTTAAAATGTTAAATAATTTGTCTTGCAATTTGATTGTACTAATACTTGACCTCTGAAATAAATTATATAAGCCTTAGCTGGTGCCATGGCTCATTGACCAAAGGCACTTAGCACCCAACCTGACACCCTGAGTTTGATCCCTGGAACCCACAGGGTAGAAAGAGAGAACTGACTGTTGATGTAAGAATTTACAAAAAGTATAATAACTTATTAAAGGGTGCAATAAAGAAACCATTGTGATCCAGCTGCCGCTGTTCCAGCACCTTCGCTTGGCTTCCACTCCAGTTTATCAGTTGTCAGGTAGCAAATATTGCCACACCCTAGAGCCTGCTGTCCCAAGGCTATTGGGGGGGATGAGTTTCCACAACACTCTCCTGCAGGTTGTCCTCTGACCTCCTCACAGGTATCTACACATAATCCGCTCACTCACACACATGAATAAGCAAATAACAACTCTCGTGCAGACTCAGGTAAAGTAACAGAAATACATGTTATTTGTTTCAAACGTCAGTTAAAACAACTTGTGGTCATATTGACTCTGACCAACAATGGTCATGTATATTATACATCATACTTGATCAGATGCACCATAGGTCTCATGTAGAATGAATGACACATAAAATCATGGAGCTAAAGGAGATTAATCCAGTCCTTTCATCTCACGGTGCAGGAAGATTTAGAGCTAGTTCATATATAGTTAGGCTTAAACTCTGCTATCTGTGTATGCCACATCACTCTAGCACAGAGTCTGTCCACTGCCCTGCTGTAGGGAGCAGCCAGAATTTCATAGGCCCATGCCTGGATGTGTGTGTTCTGTTACAAGATAACAGTGTTATAAAGGGATCTCACTGTGTTCATTAGAAATAATTGGAAAGTGAGAAACTGAGGTATAGGGATTGAGAACACCACACTTTGTTGATACGGAGCTGAGTGAGGGTAAGGCCCAGTTGTAGCAGGCCTGCTCAGCATATACTAGATTTAGTTTCCTACACTGAAGGGGAAAGAAGTTTTAAAACTTGAGTAATGTGGAGATTTAGAGAGAAATTGCTTGAACCCAAGCTATGTTGTCTAACACAGGGGCCCAAGAGAAAGTAGGAAAGATAGAGACTTGGAAAAGCAGGCAACATGGCTCTACAGTCTGTCTTCATCACCAGCAGGTGTTGGAAGGACACACCAGAGACTTTTGAATGTGCCATTCTTGGTGGAACCTAACCACATGAATAGTTAATTTTGGGCCTCGTTCCTCTTCTTTCCTCCTTCTGTAATATTTGTTTTATTTAAGTTAGCATACAAAGTACTATCGTGTATAGTAGACTTCTTGCTTGTCTCAGAACTAGTTGTATTCTTTTGTGTCATACTAAATATGTATGATGAAGCAGTTGTGTTGTGGAATTGCCAAGCAACATCATCTGTAAAGCTGCTACTCTCTAGTCTCTCTATCATCTCCCACACCTAACCTCCAAAAGAGACAGTTATGGCAAGATTCAGAACTGGTTTTCCTTGGCTCTGGTCTTTTAGGAAAAATCCTCTGATGAGCTAAGGGCTCAGCCTGGAAAATCTCAAGCAGCCTGTTCTTGAGTGTGCCCACTACTGTCTGTGCTGTCTAGCTCACTGAATTTCCCATCCCATTTGCTGTGCTTGGGATTTCTTCATTGTGATGCATGTTTCTTTATTGATTGTTGCTAGTGGGATGTATTCTCTTGTTTGCCTTCAGTCTCTCAAACTGGATAGTTACAAATTTAAATCATTGCCTGTGTGTCAGTTTCCATTGATTGTGTCTTTTCCTATTCATGAGCCTCACATGTTTCTCCAACTATTCATTTTGTATTTAGCACTGGATAGTTTGTGTTGTAGTGTTCACTGAGCTTCAGGTTTTTTGAGGCAGGTTCCTACTGTGTGCCCAAGGCTGGCATGGAACCCCAATCCTGACTCAATCTGCAAGCGCTGGGATTATGGGCATGAGCCACTATGCCTCGCTTTATTTTATGTTTGTATGTTTATAAGTACTGTGAAGTAAACCTAGGGCCTGATATGCGAGGTGAGCACTCTACCAGTGAGCTAGATATCCCTCACTGACTTCTCTGCTTTTACCACATACTGCCAGAAAGCTCTTGGACCAGTGTGTCTCAGCCCCTTGCATCTCCTGATCTAATTCAAAGCTGCATACAGTTCTAGCTGGTTGGTTTCACTTCCTGCCTCAAATTCCCCTGTACCAGTTTCCTGAATGCGTCAGGTTGCCCCCTCCATCTTCAGTGAAACATAGAGGTTTTGGTGTTTCACTGGTGCTTCACACTCCTGAACTCTTGCCATGGCTTAATAGCTGAGATGAGCTTTTCAGGCAGTCAGGCACTGGGGTTATGAACGTGTGCTATCACACCTACTTTGTTTTTATATGGGTTCTGGGATCTAACTAGACCTTCCTGCTTACAATGCAAGCACTTTACTGAAGTTATCTCATCTCAGAACTGCCTTGGCCTTTTTGGTGGGTCTCCAAAGAGGAGGCTCTGACTGCTCTGGAATTCCTTGTGTAGACCAGGATGACCTTGAACTCAGAGATCTGCCTGCCTCTTCCTCAGTGCTGGAATTTAAAGGTGTCGCCATACTCAGCTTGCTCCTTGTTTTTGTTGTGTGATTTAGTGTGTGTGTGTGTGTGTGTGTGTGTGTGTGTGTGTGTGTGTGTGTGTGGAGAGAAGGTCTCCCATGACCATCCTGGCCTTGAGCTTTGTACAGTGAGGATAGCCTTGAACTCCTGATCCCCTGTCTGCACCTCTTAAATGCTGGGATTACAAGCATATGCCACCACACCCATCTTGACTTTTTTTTTTTTAATGATCACGTAGGCCTTTTTAGCCCTAATATTTTATGATGGTGTTTAAATACTTGTTGCTAGAATAATTGCAATTTGTTTTTATAGGACTTAAAAAGAATTCCACATAAACAAACTTAGTATTGCTGTTGAAGAAAAAGCTGAAAGCCTTTGAAATCTGATCTGAGTGTGTTTGGACTGTATCTCTGTAATCCAGTTGCTTTGTAATGTTGGCTTAGCTGAGTCTCAGGTGTCCCCTGTATTAATAGAAACAGTTGTAACAATATAGCCGTTGTGTGTACATCGTGGTTGTTACACCGGTACTAGCAGAGTGCCGCGGTTGTTACACGGGGACTAGCAGATTGTGGCCTCTTTGTACTTCAGTGCTGTGTAGCGAGGAAGGCTGGCTCTGACCAGGCTGTGGTTGTGAGTTTTTCTCTGTTCAAGCCTGCTCTGAACTGCTCTCTCTTTGGAATTTTAACAGCTTTGCTGTGCATTTCACATGTGAAATTTACCTCTTTAACATGTATGCTTCAGTGCCTCTTTTTTGTGTATTCCTAGTACCGTGTCGTCTAGATTCTAGAACATTACAACATCTGGAAAGGAGCCTGAAACCCATTAGCAGCCTCTCTTCATTCTCACATACCCAGGTTTTTATCAAGCTGACCTAACTTAACTTTTCCACTTAAATCTATAATTTCGTTTGTTGCTTTTGCTTGTTTGTTTGCAGGATGTAATTATGCTGGTTCGTTTTTTATCAGCTTCATAACAAGCTGAGGTTACATGGAAAGAGGGAGCCCTATTGAGGAATAGCCTCCATCAGGTTGCCCTATAGGCAAATCTGTGGGGCATTTTCCTGACTCAGGAGCAATGAGGGCAGTGCCACCCCTGGGCAAGTGGGTCCTGGATTATGTAAAAGGCAGCTGAGTGAGCCATGGAGAGCAAGTGATCCTCCAGGGCCTCTGCTTCAGTTCCTGCCTCCAATTTCCTGCCCTGACTTCCCTAGAGGACTGTAAACTATAAGATAAAATTAACCCTTCTCTCCCCAAGTTACTTTTGGTTGCTTTTCACAGCAGTGGAAAGCCAACTAGATCAGAAAAATGCTTGTGTTAGCAGCGCTTTCTTTTCTGAGCGGCTGCCCCATCTTTCTGTGGAACTCCCCACCTTGCCACCTCCTCTGAGCACTGGAGGCACGCACCAGCAGGTGTCTTCTGATTGTCAAATCACACTGACACTTGTTGGTTCTTGTGTCTTGCAAGATTATGTCCCTGGGATTGAAACTAGGACCTTATCCATGCTAGACCAAAGCTCTGGTCCACAGCCCACCACTGGTTTTTATCTGTTTGTCCCTCTGTAACACTTGGCTCTTGTTGACTTTCTCTTTCTGCCTTGATTACTTTGCTGTCTTCCCTCACAGTCTGGTCTCCTGAGCTGGGTCCATCATTTTTAAGTAGGGGCGTTTCCAAAGTTTCTATCTATAGACTTCCCTGATGCTGGCGGAGCGAAGTCATTTTCCCATGTTTTTACGTGATCCCATTTTAGTCTTTTCCTGTTCTGTGGGTGGCTTCCTGTTGTTAGGGGTTTGCTGTCCCATCAAGAATGTAAGCATGCTTGCTTCTTCCTTTAGTAAGCTTAGCTTTTCCATTTGAAATCTCATTTTTACTGGATTTAATAGCTATAGGATAGGTGTTGTATACCTTGTTTACCTCTTAGTTTACTAACTCTGTTCACGTAGACCAGGCTGACCTCCTGAGTACTGGGATTAAAGACACCCTTTGCCAATGAAAACTAGTGTTACTCATGTGGATCCTTGTATGTGACATATATTTTAGAAATTAAATCTTTTTTTTTTTCTTTACATTAGAGTCTCACTGTGTAGACCAAGATGGCCTTGATTTCAGAGATCTCCCTGTACTGGAATTAAAGACAAAGACCTGGCATTAAAATTTAAAAAAAAAAAAATTGTTTTAAGAGCCAGGCTGTGGTGTTTTGAACTCTTAATCCCAGCACCTGGAAGGCAGAAGCAGATGATTTCTGTGAGTTCAAGGCCAGCCTAGTCTACAAAGCTACACAGAGAAACCCTGTCTCGAAAAGAAAAAAAAAAAAATGTTTTAAGCGATCATATAGAGTGATGGGTTTCTCATGATGTTTTCATACATGTGTTGACATAAATAGAAAAAAATATAATGGCGTGTCATTATGTTTTGCTCTTACTCATATTCCTACGGGACTGTCCGTCCTGGCTCCCTACCCGTCCCTTGTTGTACCCCTTCCTGCCAAATAGTTCTGCTTTCATGCCACATGTATCCATCACGTGCCCTCCCCTCCCCCTCCCCCTCGTGCCACATGTATCCATCACGTGCCCTCCCCTCCCCCTCCCCCTCGTGCCACATGTATCCATCACGTGCCCTCCCCTCCCCCTCCCCCCTCGTGCCACATGTATCCATCACGTGCCCTCCCCTCCCCCTCGTGCCACATGTATCCATCACGTGCCCTCCCCTCCCCCTCCCCCTCGTGCCACATGAATTCCATCACGTGCCTTCCCCCTCCCCCTCGTGCCACATGTATCCATCACGTGCCCTCCCCCTCCCCCTCATGCCACATGTATCCATCACGTGCCCTCCCCTCCCCCTCGTGCCACATGTATCCATCACGTGCCTTCCTTCCTCCCCTGCATCTGTCTTATTTTGAATCATGATCTCAGTTCCATCCATTTTCCTGTGGAAGCCATGATTTCAATTTTTTATGGCTGAATGAAGTTTCATTATGTGTACATACCATTTTTATTCATTGTTGATGGATGCCTAGGCTGGTTCTGTTTGATAGCTACTATGGATAATATAGCAATAAACATGGATGTGCAAGTGTCCTATGGTACACTGATGTCAAGCCTTTTGGGTGTGTGTCAAGAGTGGTGTATCTGGGTTCTGTTTCTCATTTGTTGTTTGTTGATTTGTGGTTTTTGTTTGTTCCGTTTTTTTTGAAATACCTCAACACTGGCCCCCACTGTGAATGCCCAAATTTACATCCTCAGAAGCAGCAAATAAATCAGAAGCCCCTCTCTCTCCTCACTCCCGGTGTTACTTACCTCTTGTTTTCTTGGTGGTGGATGAGAGGGAATCTGAATCGTTCCTGTTCATGTCCCATGAGGACACTCAACACTTCCTTGAGTAGTGATGGTCAGTTGTGTTTGTTTTGTGGGAACAACCTATTCTTTCCCTCAGCCCATTTATTCATCTATGATTTAAGTTTGGTGTTTAATTTTTGCAGTTACTCCTATGTTCTTGGTAAAGACGTTCCCCCAGTCTGCCCTGGCTCTGTCCCCTCTGTGGGGAGAATTTTGCTTTTTAATCCCCATGATCCCATTACTCCGTTACTGGGTTTGGGGAACTCAAATCTGCACCAGTCTTGTCAGCCACAGCACTTTATTGCCTGCACTTCAGGGTAGCTTTCGAACTTGTCTCCAACTAGTCTGCGACTTTGACAAAGGCCTTGTGTTCCTTGGTCTCACTTTCAAAAAGATTTACTGGTGTTTTGATAACCATCCCTAGAGCATTGCACAACAGTGGGGAATGAAGATTAGCTGTGTCCCTCCATCACAGGGAGTAGGAAGCCAGACTAAGAGAAGGAAGGGATGCTTCCATGCTTGTCCTTTTCAAAACTTGAGAGCAGAGTTTAAAGAAAAACAAAAACAAAAAAAACCAACTTGGTTTCTGGGGGAATTGTCCTGCTTTATGGCTTGGGGTAGCTTTCAGATTAAACTGAATCTGTCCTGTTCTTTGTGATGGTGCAAATTTTGGAATTTTAAAATATTGTCATTGAATGAAAGTCTGCGACCCTCAGCATGTGGACTAGTGAGGCTGTGGCCTCACTGGCTCTGTGTCTTCACACTGCACACCACCTGTCACTTTGTCCAGCCAGAGCATCAGGTAAGAAGACTGTGCGTGTGCCCTGGCCGCCTTCCCAGAAGACAGCTAGGCGGGGGCTTTTGTTAAGAGTCCTTGGTTTTGAGTTTAAATGAGTCTCTACCCGCAGTTTGCTTAAATAGAGCATGATAGCAGTTCTTACTCACATGGCATGCCTTGAGGTTCTAATTCTACAGAGCAGGGAAATACATTTCCTCTCCTGTGTTTAACAAAAGGCACATTGGCTGGGCCTTGCTGCAAGTTGTAAAGCTTCCTGTGTCTACTTGCCCATGGAGTGAGTGTGGGGAGGCACAGTGGCACATTCACATGAAGAAGCCTGCAGATTGCCTCCGCTGGCTGAGATATCTGGCCTGTAAACAACACTGTTTGGTGCATACTTCACAAGCATTCTTTTATACAGTCGGCCGTGACTCTTGGGATGTTTCCAGGTGACTAGTGTCTACCTGAGTGTTTTTTTTTTTTTTTTTTTTTTTTGACTGAAGTTGTCTTCATGTCTTTCCTGAATTTGTCTGCCAGGTAGAGTAATGAGAACTCAGTTTGGACAGAGATTAGGAGCTGAATTGTGGGTACTTTGGGCTCTTTTGGCGCATGAATAGTTGCCATGCATTTGTTAAGTTGTACACTGTTAATTAAACCCATCCAAGCCCTTGTCCCCCACCCAACTTTTCCTTTTCAAACCATCTGAAAGCCCCCTGCTGCTATTTCTAGGTGTCCTGGAGCCTCTCACCGGAGAGTTCATCTAGAAAGAAGGAAAACTAGTCAAACTCAGACACAGATTGAGGGTGAAACTGGATCCACAGTAATAGATCCTCCTGGCACCTCCCCCCCAGAAACGGACTGCTTGGGCACTGTGCCTGTGGAGCGAAACTTGACACCTGCCCCTCTTCCTGTGTGGCCTGAGGAGCCTGGCCTGGACAACCCTGCCTTCGAGGAGAGTGCTGCGGCCGACTGTATGTGCAACTCATCTCTTCCTGTTTCATTCCGTCTCCCTTGCCTTTCCTCCACTGCCCTTCTGCCATCCTGTTTAAACAGTTGCACTGGAGTACGGTTTGTATGCCATACCATTCGCCCTTTGTACCTGTAGCTCTGGCTGGCTGCAGTCTAGAAATAAAGGAGTCTTAACCTGGAGGAAGTCGGTCCTCCCTTCCCCACCAGGATCCACTAGAAGCATGCTTGCATCAACAGCAAAACCACAGAAGCAATAAGAACAGCTAGCTCAAATAGTCACTATTCCTCAACACTGTATGTTAGTTAACTAAATGTTTGTAAAACATTAAAAAAAAAAAACAAGTTAAAAAAGCTGAGCCTTGAAAAATGACAGCTCACACAGCCCCCATGTGGCTGAGAATACATCATGGAGTCCATGCCACAACCCTACTCTCGGCACACACAGCCTGGGGCATGGTCACCCTTCGTGTTCATATAGTCTAGATGCTTTCTGCCCCTTAGGGTTCAGTGCAGCTGTGCCCTTCCTCAGCTCCCCTCGGGTTCCCCACCAGACAAGAGTTTTCTTTCTGTGGCCTTGCACGATCTGGGCTTGCTTCGTAGCCCAGGCACCTCATCACTGAGAGCACGGTGGCTTTCTGTCAATGTGTGCTCCCTGGTTACCTCACACATAGTAATTATTTATTGATGGTTACTGCCTGTCTGTTTGAAGAAGAGAGTTGGCTAGTTTTAACAGTACCCCATATCGAGCAGAGAGAAGCTGAACGTACACTGTTCTTGTTTGACTTGGCAGCTGTACAGCAACCACTTAGTTTACCAGAAGGGGAGATCACCACCATTGAGATCCACCGCTCTAATCCATACATCCAGTTAGGGATCAGCATCGTGGGCGGCAATGAGACACCACTGATCAACATCGTCATCCAGGAAGTCTACCGGGATGGGGTCATCGCCAGAGATGGTAGACTCCTTGCCGGAGACCAGATTCTTCAGGTAACAGCTCTAATACCCTGTTAGTCTGTGCCTTTTGTTTTACAACTTAGACAACTATGATGTTATAGAACCTGGATTAAACAAAAATTGGTTTTGATGTATTTGTTTATTTATTTGTTTGTTTGTTTATTAAGGCTATGTAGCTCTGACTGGCCTAGTCCCTGATAATAGACCAACCTGGCTGCAAACTCAGAGATTTAATTTTCTTATGCTTTGTTTTTTGAGTCAGGCTCTTACTACGTAGCCCAGGTTAGCCTTATACTCTGTTACACAGGCTGGCCTTAACCCCAAGATCTGAGATTTCATGTGGGGCCATCACACCCAGCTAATAGCTTTGCTCTTAGAGTGTGCAGAACAGGTCAGGGGTTGTGGGTCATTTCCTTTATTTGTTCCTGTTGTTACTTTTCTTCTCTCATTTGAATCTTCAGTCCTGTGTGTAACTGAGCACTGGGGCAGGGCTCTTTGGGCTTGTTGGACACTGACACTCCTGACTTAGACTCTTGATGGCTGTTCCAGAGACACCATTGACCAGGCTAGATGTCTCTTTCCCACTGGTTTTGTATCATAGCCAGTTTTCCACCCATCTCTTCCCTGCGTCTCTGATTGGCCCTTGTGCTCATTGATAACTAGAATGTGAAAGATGGACCCAAACAGCACTGGTGGTTGATGACATTTCTTTCTCACCATCCTGGGCATTCAGCCTGGGCAGTGCCCCTGAGCTAGACCTCAGCCTGAGGTAAACACGTTTGTAGCACAGAATGTTAGGTAAACTCTTACTCCCCAATGCCCTGCCAGCATCCAGCTCCGGGTTTTCAGCCACTCCTCTGTTTAGTCCTCCCCAGTACTGCCTCCAGGAAGAAATGACCCCCTCCCCCCCAAAAAAAGCCCTAGCATAAGGCCAGGTATTTTCTTTTATTACAGGCATTACTGAACGGATAAGGACATTAAGTGTCCTGATTCTAAGAGAAAAATACAAACAAGGGAAAAACTGCCTTTTCAGAACCCAGGCCCTCAGGCTGTCCTTCCTCTCAACTCTCTTCCCCTGTGATCTGCTGAGGCCTCCCACCTCCCTGTTCCCTGCTACCTCTCTAGTCTAGGCCTTCACCACTTTATTCCCAAGTCAGTGCCATGCTCCATCCGATATCCTGTCTCCCACTCTCCTCCCAGAAATCCTGCATGTTCCCTTCAGGGTAATGCCACTGTAACCGCACTTGCCAAGAACACTCAACGTCCAGGCCCAGGGCTTCATGCAGCCTTGCTCCTTAGAGCTCTTTCTTGACATTTGTCCCCTTCCCACAGTGTTCCTGGCACTGTACTAACTGCCGGGGACACATTTACAGGTAAAAGTCTGTCCCGCCCTCACAGGATATCCCTTCCCGCGGAAGAGCTGGTCATGCCAGCCTCCCTGCCTCCTTGCAGGAAACCAGCTCCCTCCTCCACCCGCCCTCGCCTTGTGCTCCATCCAGGCCTGTGCTCTCACCTTCAAACTCTTCATCGGTTGTCCCCACACTGGTCCCGCTCCCTTGGTTTCTCCATCACACTTGTTGCATGTAATCTACCACAAGAAGAAAGGTGTTCATGAAGTCTAACCCTAGTGGTCACGGTGTGACATCTCCAGTATCAGAACAAAGCAGGTAGGCTGCAAGGCAGCAGGGACTTTTTGCTGGAGGTCCTTGGCCACTGGACCATGTGTTGCTTTCTTTTTAAATTCGACTCCCCCAAACCCTTCCCAGGGCCACTGGTATGACTGAGACAGACTGAACTTTCAAATTGTTTTTTAAATCCAGTTTCTGCTCTATCGTTTGCATGTACTATATCTTTGCTGTCATTTTATGTTGGTACTCTGGCTGCACAAGGCTGGCACCACTTTAGAACACTTTGCCTGGATTCCTCGATGCCTAGCTCATGTCCTATATTTAGAGGGGAATCTTACAGCTGTTTCCCCAGGTACACGCCTCCCAGGCATCTTGACATCAGGACTTCACGGCGGCCCTTGTACTGTTCTCTGGCCTTTCTAGCAGTAATTTAAGTGTATACTTTTGTCCTTTTTTTTTTAAACCTAGTGTGCCAGTTTGAAAATACCCATGCAGTAAGGCGGTTCATTTGCTACACTGTACTTTTATCTTAATAATCATGCAGTCAGCAGGAATAACTAGATTTTTTTCCACATTAAAAAAAGTACATATAGAAACACACACACACACACACACATCCAATGAGGTAGCATCTTTACAGAGGGAACCTGTGCTCTCTCGGCTCTCTGAACCTTTTCAGAGATTCATATGCAGCCTTTTGAGCAGTTTTAAAGGAAAAATGATGCTCTTTATAAATTATGTCAATAGTATTTAAAGTGATACAGCTTTTAGAATATTAAAGATAAATATTTTTAGTTTGATCAGAAACATCAGTGATTCACATCATGTTGGTTAACAGTAAAAGCCATGGTTAGTCATGATAGTGTTTACTAGTTGTGTCCTTTTTACAAAAGCAAGAGAAGGTCTATTATAGTCTGTTTTCTCTGAATTTCACTGACAACCATGTATTCATGGAGAATGAGTCTTTTCCTAGCTGGGTATTTCCCATCCTGCTTTACAGAGAGAGTAGGCTGCAGTCTTGCATACTGCTGAACAAGAGCTGTGTTTCAGCCAGGCCTTGTGTCCTTTGTGACTTTCTAAAGATGGAAAGGTGAACATGGCAATAATCAACTCTTAGCTGGATGGCTGAAATGGTAGTGGACCCATGAGTCCTATCCGCCTACTTTTCTGGAAGATGCCTTGGAGTTCTGGTCTTGGGCCAGTGTTAGTTATCTGTCAAAGTCAGCATGGATGTTAAAACCATGAGAGAATAGTAAGCTGGTGTGTGATACCTGCAGATTTGATGAGTGGCTTTTTAAATGGTATCCATAGACCAAAACCAACAAAATTCAAGGTAATACTGTTCAAAACTATCAAACCCAGAAAATAAGCCAAAGAAGGAAAGCAGCCCAAATTAAAAAAGGTAGAACTGTCCATCTCAGATATGTCAGAAGGGGAAGGCCTTGCTTAATGTAAACTTGTTTAAGAGAGCCGTAGTATTCCAGACGATCACACAGTCCTAACCCAGAGCTGTCTCATTAGAGACATCCTGCGAGCCTCGGTTTTATCTCAGATGGATTCAAAGAGCTCTAATTGTGATAAATAGGAAAATTATGCTCAGCTCCTAGGTGGGTAATTGAAGCTGGACTATTTTCCTAAGTGATGTCACATGTTCAAAGATCAGTCATTGTGATTGTATAAAGCTGTACATTCTAATGAGTGCATGAATATTGAATTACACTCTGCATATTAAACATGTATTATATGTGTATGCTGATAATTAGAATGGAATTGTAATTGTAGACTTTAAAAGTCACTCAGAATATGCAACTTCTGAAGAAATAAAGCAATTTATTTTGTCTGTCGTGTGTTTCATTAGAGAAAGCACCTTTGAAATCCAGCAGAACTTGAGCCTGCAGGCCAGTAGGGCTGTTCTAGTTTCAGACTTGCCCTGGCCTGATACGGCCTGCTCCCTCCCACCCTAGTCCAGTGCCATAGTGTTAGACCCAGAGAAGCGGGCGCTGGATGAGTGCCCTGTCCCCGAGGGTATCAATAACTAGCAGAACTGAAGACTCTAATGTCAACACCCATGTTCCTAATTACTCCTCAACACTGTGCATTAGTTCATTTTAAAATTCTATGCTGTAAAAGTCTTTAGAGTGGTTTTCTTTTAGGTTCGAGGTCCTCTGGCATGTTCTCCGTATTGGTTTCCTTTGGAGATGTCATCTAGACATTTCTGCAAGTTAGGAAAATAAATATTTGCCGTGCATTGGTCACAGGAGTTTTGTTTGTTCATTTGTTGTTTTTAGGTCAACAACTATGATATCAGCAACGTGTCCCATAACTATGCCCGGGCCGTGCTTTCCCAGCCTTGCAGCACCCTGCATCTCACCGTGCTGCGGGAGAGGCGCTTCGGCAGCCGAGCAAACAGCCATGCAGATGGCAGCGCATCTCGGGACGAGGTCTTTCAAGTGCTGCTTCACAAACGCGACTCTGCAGAGCAGTTAGGGATTAAATTAGTCCGAAGGACAGATGAGCCTGGCGTTTTTATTCTTGACCTTCTGGAAGGGGGGCTGGCAGCACAGGATGGCAGACTCAACAGCAATGACCGGGTACTGGCCATCAACGGACATGACCTGAAGCATGGGACCCCAGAGCTCGCTGCCCAGATCATTCAGGTAAACTCCACACACTAAGCCTGGGTTATCAGTCACATAGAAGAATTCCAGGGCCATCAGTGTTTCTAAAGTCCTCAGAATCCACACTACTGTGTATAACTTCCCCAAATAGAGCTGTGTTTGTTTGGGTGCTGTTGTTGTTGACTGTTTTCCTAAAGCCTGTGTCCCTATGTACTTTGGGGCTTTTGTTTGTACCGTTTAGTAGGCACCGCAGCTGTACATCTTTGAAGAGAGCAAGGGTTTACTTCAGCCAGTAGGCTTGTCAGAGCAGTTTTCAAGGAAAAGTTGCAGTACTGATTTAGGGCTCTCGGGTGTTAACAGTAATGACAGTGGGTGTATTATAGTAAGACAATCCCACATAGCCATTGACACTTCCCACAGGATGGCGTAGTCATCAGAGCCATCACAGCTGTTAATGTCGGGATTCTAATTGTCACCTCAGCATTTACCTGTTGAACCCGGAAGATGTGCCCAAGTGGCAAATGATTAATGTATAGTATTAAAGTTGTCTCTCACTCGCTTTCCAACTGAAGAACCAAAAATGAAGCAATTTATTCTCTTTTATCAATGTGTGTGTGTCAGAGAAAGAGAGAGAGAGAGAGAGAGAGAGGGAGAGAGAGAGGGAGAGAGAGAGAGAGAGAGATCCATGGTGTGTGTGGAGATCAGAGGACAGCTTGCTGTAGCTAGCTTTCTTCCTCCACTGTGGAGGCCCCAGGGATTAAACTTAGATCATTAGGTGTGGCCACCTCTGAGCCACCTTTCCAGGCCAGAAAAGAATTTCTTAACATTATGAATTCTAGTCACAGGGAAGGTTTCTACATCCTCTCACAGTTCCTTAAAACAGGCTGTCTGCTTCTGTAGGAGGATAGGGAAGTTGGAGGTTTGTGGTGATGACGGAGAAACAGCATCAGGTGAGAGGGATGGACTTTAAAGAGCAAGGACAAGATGAGCTGAAGTGTAACCCACGTGAGAACCTATATGTTTCAAATGCAGACGGCAGAGCACAAGCCTCCAAATAGTTTAACTCTGTGAGTGTCACAGGTTTGAAAATATTAGCCTGTGATCTCCTTCCTGCTGCCAGATAGTGACTGCCCAGTTGAGGCTTTGGCACAGCGACTAAGAAATACATAGAAAGTTAGTGTCTCCTGTCGGTGTATACTTGTACATGGGGCTGAGGCAGGAGCCTCTAAACCTGTGTTACTTAATGAGACCCTGCCCTGATGAGAGGAAAGGAGGGGAGCAGACAGAGGAGGAGTTCCACTAAGATCTCTAAGCCACAAATATCATTTGTGATGGGTAGTGATGAATATATCTTCTCCAGGCCAGCGGAGAGAGAGTGAATTTGACAATTGCCAGACCCGGGAAACCCCAGCCCAGCAATGGCACCCGTGAAGTAGGAGCACACAGCATCAGCCAGCAGCATGCACAGCCACCCTCTCATAGCCGACCAAGCTCACACAAGGTGAGGACGATCCTCTCCTTTAATCTGTGTCACCCTCTAAGAACCATTGTTACAGTCTGAGAAGATGGATGGGTAGGCTTTTTGTGTGCCAGTTGTAACACAATATGAAGTTTTGTTTGTTTGTTTGTTTTTAAAGCCTGAAATGCAGGCTGTCACTCTTTGGAAGCCCCTAGATGTTTGGGGTATGAAGCCTGAGAGTGGCCTCCTCCCGAGTCAGCCTCTATAAGTTTCTTGTCCGAGAGGCTTCCTCTGTCAAGTGCTTGACAAGAAGTGATCCTCTACAGCTTAGTGTTCAAAGGAAGTCTGTTCTTCTCGGGTTGCTTGTTTAAATGTGATCACTGGTTTTACAGTTAGAAGTGCTTCATGAAAACATGATTAAGTCCATGTTCAGCAGTTAGTCACGTTGTCTGCAGTGACACAGTTAGCTGTGGGAACACTGACATAAACTTTTTGACAGGCACATGGATAGCATGTGTTGTTATGGTATCAAAATCCCTATCTAATGGCCAGGTGTGGTAGCATGCTTTTATTCCCAGCACTCAGGAGGCAGAGGCAGGCAGGTCTTTGTGAGTTCCAAGACATCCTGTTCTACAGAGTGATTTCCAGGACAGCCAGGACTATATCATAAAGCCCTGTATCAAAAACCAAAGCGAAGGACTGTTTTCAGTCCTCAGTAAGGAAAAAAATATCAAATCCCTTTATAACGGCATGGAACCTATTCCCTTGTTTAGCCTGTTTTCGCCTCAGCTGTATGTTGTTAATTATCCAAGCAAGACTTTTCTTCTTTCACTGTGTAGGATCTCACTCAGTGTGTCACATGCCAGGAGAAGCATATCACTGTAAAGAAGGAGCCACACGAGTCCCTTGGAATGACGGTTGCTGGTGGCAGAGGGAGCAAGAGTGGTGAGCTGCCCATCTTTGTGACCAGCGTGCCACCCCATGGCTGCCTTGCACGAGACGGCAGAATCAAAAGAGGTGAGGCAGGGTCCTGGAAGATCCTCCATGTCTCGTCTCAGAATTAAAGTCACACTTTTAAGAGGAATTACTGTGTTTCATGTTAAACATGACTTTTTAAAGTAAAGTGTCCTTGAATAGAAAACATAATATTTTTCTGTAAGGTTAGGGAAATAAACCCTGATTATGGTTTGAGACCCTGACGTTGCTCAGACTCTTGGCTTATCTTGGAAAAGATCCAGCTTATGGCAGATGGTGCTGAAGGGCCTTTTCACTGGAATACAATGTTGATTATGATAAAGTATCAGGGATCTGTGTGATGCTGAGCAGGTAGAAGCACCTGCCCAAGCCTGATGCCCGAGCTCTATCCCTGGACCTCAAGGTAGAAGGAGACAAGGCTTCAGAAAGAACTCTCATACAGATGCCATTCAAGTGTGCAGAAGACGAGAGAAAGTAGCAAGAGACAAACCTGATTTTAGAGATTAACCCCGCATGTTCTTTGTCCCCTCACAACTCTGTTAGTGTTGTATAGAGGAGAACATGTAACTGAACCCTGTTGCCATGGGAGAACAGCAGTCTCTGCTGATGGACTTAGTATGGGAAGAAAGCTGAAGCTGAAGGTTATTTTCCCAGGATTGAAGGTGGGCTCCCACCTCCCGCCCCCAAAAGCTAGCACTTAGGAAAGCTTACATGTCAAGTCTTGTGGCCTGTAGTTAGACAGCAATTTCTTAGGTAGCCCACAGAGTGGGAGGAAACATTTACAAGTCAAACATTTATATATGGGTACATGGCATATCAAGAAATTGTAAAGAACTTTTTCAACTCAGTAAAAACTACAAATTACCTAAAGACAAAAAAATGACATTTCCCCCAAGAAGACAATCATATGGAAAACTGCCCAACATGATTAGTTATCAAAGAGATGGCCCTCAGACTATCCCAAAATGTTCTAAAATCATAGTGGTGGTGTCCTTCAATCAATGTAATAAAGCCCACAGAGCTGGATGGTGTGGGGTTTTTTGTTTGTGTGTTTGGTTGTTTGGTTTGGTTTGGTTTGGTTTTTGTTTTTTTGAGTCAGGGTTTGTCTGTGTAACAGCCCTGGCTTCCTGGAACTCACGCTGTAGACCAGGCTGGCCTCAAACTCACAGAGATCTGCCTGCCTCTGCCTCCTGAGTGCTGGGACTAGAGGCATATACCATCACTGCCCACCTAGCTGGGTGTTTTAAAAAGAGGAATTGAATGCAGTGTAGAGTATATTTCAATAAGGATACTGCTTTTAAAAGTTATTTGTTCAATTGTAGAATTTGGTGACATTTGAGTTCTTGGTTTTGTTTTATTTTGTTTTGCTTTGTGTGTGCATGCACACATGCCTTCTGAGTTTTCCTCCCCCCCCCCATAGCCATTTGTTTATTTTTGTAAAGCTCTCAGAAATTGAGTTACAAAAAATAACAATCCAAACCCCACCTTTCCTCAAACATTATACAAAAGGATTGTTTCTGTGACAAACACCTGCATCCTTCACAAACAGTGGCTCAAGAGTCAAGCTAATGTGACTAATCCCTTCTCACTCTGCTCTGCCCTCAGATCTGTGCTCTGCCTCCATGCATGCCCTTCCAGGTCCAGGGCATCTGCCACCACCCAGTGATTCTAGCAAACTCTGCAGCATTACAGGAATGTCAACACCCTAACCTGCAGAGGGCTCTCAGCTTAGATTCACAGAGCAAAACATTCCACAATACAGTAGAAATAAATACACAAATAAATGGTATACATGATTCATATAGGAAGTGTAGCAAAGAGGAAGAACACAGATTCGCAACTTAGCATGCTCAAGTTTATGATCCTTCTGCTCAGGAAAGTAAAACCAAGAACTCCAATTCTCCAAGTATCATAAAAGCATAAAACAGTTCACCTCAGGGCTTTTTACTGAGTCTTTGAGAAAAGATACAACCTAAAATGCTGTATGAGGTCTCTCTTTTTTATTTTTATTTATTCTTATACAACAGTCAGGACCACTGTTGCCCCTCCCTCCACTCCCCCTTGGTATCACAAGATACAATAAGACTAGGTACAAACCTTTATATCAAGACTGAGCTAAGCAACCCAGTAAGAGAGAAAAGGTTCCAAGAGTAGAGTCAAAGACGCCCCTGCCCCTGCTGCGAAGAGTCCCACAAAAACACCAAGCTAACAACCATAGCATATATGCCCCATGTTTGCCACATCAGTCTTTGTGAGCCTCTGAGCCATGCTTAGATGACTCTGTGGACCGTGTTCTTGTATCCTCAACCCCACCCCCAACTCCTTCAGTTCTTCTCCCCATCTTGAGTATGATTCCCCGAGCTTCGAGGGGAGGAACCTGATGAAGATCTCCAATTTTGGCTCTTTGCACCTAATGTCTGGCTGTGGGCCTCTGCCTCAGCTCCCATCAGCTGCTGGAGGCAGCCTCTCTGATAATGATTGGGCTGGGCAATCTGGAGTTCTGGTGGCTGGAGTGGCCTCTCCCAAGTTTCTAATAATGAGAATCCTCTGCTTCAATAATCTGGAAGATAGATGATAAATAAAGGGGAGATTTTTCTGAAGCCATTGCAGCACTAATGTCTATTCCCAGAAGTTTTCTAACCTTCCCTAACCCTTTTGTCTTTTAATAATCTCTGTAACTCTTTTTTTATTGTGTTACCTGGGAGACCAATAAGCATGTTGCTGATTCCCCACAAGCCAGGGAAGATGTTCAAATCGTGTTTTATTTCACTAAGTGGCCTGAGGATGACTGTTCTCATATCCTGGCTTTTGTGCCTACCTGGGGCTGTTTCTGTGTATAAAATTGTGTAATATTAAATAGAATCTGTTACAGTTATCTCTAAGAGCAAAGGATCAGATAGTTTGGGGATCAGAAAGAGCCCTAGAGTTCTCTGAAGCTCAAAGGAAAGAAGCTGAGCTCACCCCTGAACACAGCTACGGGAGCTAATGATTCAGACCGATCTCACAAGGTGCTTCAAGACACAGTTTTTCCCTCTGTATCTAACACTATTTTGAATTTTGAACTGTTCTGAAATGTTCTCTGTGAATTGGAAAAATTGCCCTTGGTGGTACAGAAAAGCACAAACGATTAAAGCCCATTTTCATCCCAACTAAGTTCTTGGAAATGGCCTACTGATTGATTGGTAAACAGAGCTTCAGGGAGAGTCAGTGGCGCTCACGGTCATTCTTCTGGCTTCCCCAACGGCACAGGTGATGTGTTGCTGAATATCAACGGCATTGACCTGACCAATCTAAGTCACAGCGAGGCTGTGGCCATGCTGAAAGCCAGTGCTGCCTCTGCAGCCGTGGTCCTCACAGCCCTGGAAGTCCAGATTGTGGAGGAGGGAGCCCAGACCTCAGAGGAGCAGCCAGATGCTTTCAGTGAGAACGAGTACGACGCCAGCTGGTCCCCGTCCTGGGTCATGTGGCTCGGGTTGCCAAGGTACCTACCAAGATCGGTTCTGTTGTTCTACCCAGTGATCATATTTTTAATCTTTATCAGTCTGTTACACAGTTAACTCACCCAGTGGGGAGGCAGGGCTTTCATTAGGTAAAAGTGCATCAAATTATAAAAGCAAGTTTTAGGTAGATTTGATAACGACTAAGTTAAAAATGTTGGTATCTGCTTGTAAAAAGAAGACAGTTTTGCCAGCTCCCAATAAGAGGGGTTTGTGTTGTTTGTGTTTTGAAGGGGACAGAAAATACACTTGTATACACTGCTGGGATGACAGGCACAGGCCACCACATCTTTTTCCATGTGAGTCCTGAGGATGCAGTCTCAGAACCTCAAGCTTGCACAGCAGGCATTCAGCCACTGAGCCAACTTTCCTTGAAGAAGCAAAATTTCTGAGGCAGGGGCTCACTCTGTAGTCCAGGCTAGCCAAGAACTTATGATCATTTTGTAAAAAGGTAGTTAGGACACAATATTGGACACAGGAGGCATGACCAGCAAGATGGTCTGTGACTGGCTGACAGGGTCTTGGAGACATTGGAACCTCCAGTGCACCCAGGGTGCTGGCCTTTCTCCAAATGGTTGATGTTTAGTGTTAAGACAGAGTGTTTGTAGCTATGGTTATTTGTTTCTAAAATTATCTATAAAAAGCATTTTGAAACATATTTGACTATTAGCCAAGTATGAAACTGCTGGCTCTTAAATAAAAATAAGCCTGAAAAATGCACCAGTGTCCGAGTCATCTGACTCATATGGGGTAACTTACAGTGGGGAGCATTTACACACGCTGTGTGCCTCATGAAGGACAGTAAGAATATCATTGGTGCTGTATTTTACTTATGGATAGTTCCTTTGCTGGCTTGTTCACATGTATTTGGTTTTGTTTTTGTTTTTAATCTTAAGTCCTAGATAGAACACATGTCTCATAGACATAGCAGGACCTTGTGGAGTGAGACTAGTGGTAGCAAAAATGATGTCTTACGAGTTTCAATGCATCAAAACTAGAAATCAGGGGCTGAGAGATGGCCCAGTGGTTAAAGCACTTGCTGCTCTTGCAGAGGACCCTGGTTCAGTTCCCAGTGTCAACATGGCAGCTCACAACCATCTAGAGGATCCGACACCCTCTTCTGGTCTCCACTGATTATGTACATATGTGGTGCACATACATACATGTAGGTGAACATCCATACCCATAGAATAAAAGTAAATCCATTTTGAAAAAAAAAATGATGTAAATGGCTATTATCAAACTGCTACAGAGCTACAGTCTAAAGTGGTGAACTCACAACTCTTGTTCAGCTGATACCTGGGTCATCAGAGTCATTCTAAAACAGTGGCTTTGGGGTGAGTGAGGAGGTTTCCAGACAGAGTTTCTCCATGTAACAGTCCTGGCTGTCCTGGAACTAGCTCTGTAACTTGGCTGGCCTTGAACTCACAGAGATCTGCCTGCCTCTGCCTCCCAAGTGCTGGGATTATAGGTGTGCGCCACCATAGCCAGCTGAGCAGTGATTCTCAACCTTCCTAACGCTGCAGCCCTTTAATACAGTTCTTCATGTTGTGGTGACCCCCAACCATAAAATTATTTCCGTTGCTACTGTATAACCGTGAAGTGCTTGACTGAAGAGGATGGAAACTGGGTTGGTGCACGCCTTCAATCCCAGAACTTGGGAGGCAGAGGCAGGTTCATCTCTGTCAATTTGAAACCATCCTAGTCTACATAGTGAGTTCTAAGATAGATAGCCAAGTCCTACATAGTAGAACCCTGCCTCAAAAAAGAAAAAAAAAGAAGGAAAAAAAAAAAAAAAAAAAAAGAACGCTTGGAAGCTGGTTGCCCAAACTATGCAAGCTTAGTCGGCTGCCTCAGATAATGGAGCAGTCAGAGTAGCAACCTCCTGGAAAAATCCCATGGCCCTGGGGCTTCCTTTAATTGTCTTTGTGCCCAACCAGTTTGGAGGATGTGCATATTGTGACTTTTGTTTATAGCAGTTTATGGTACAGTAGGCATAGCAAGAAAAGGTGTGTGTGTGTGTGTGTGTGTGTGTGTGTGTGTGTGTGTGTGTGTATGTGTGGCATGTGGAGGCCAAAGAACAACTTTGGGTTTGGTGTGTGTGTGTGTGTATGTGTGTGTGTGTGTGTGTGTGTGTGTGTGTGTGTGTGTGTGTGTGTCATGTGGAGGCCAAAGAACAACTTTGGGTTTTTTTTTTTTTTTTTTTTTTTTTTTGTTGTTGTTTGGTTGGTTGGTTGTTTTTTTGGTTTTTTGGTTTTTTTTTTCAAGAAAGGGTTTCTCTGTGTACCTTTGGAAGCTGTCCTGGAACTAGCTCTTGTAGACCTGGCTGATCTCAAACTCATAGAGATTCACCTGCCTCCTGAATGCTGGGATTAAAGGCATTCAATACCATCACCACCCTGGCTCCACTTTGGTTTTTGAGACAGTATCTCTCACTGAATCATTTGTCTAGGCTGGTAGCCAGTGATCTTTGGGGACCCACCTATCCCTGATGCCCCTCCCCCATACCCCAGCACTATGCTTACAGATGTGGGTTGCCTGTGTCAAGATCTTTTTACATGGGTTCTGGGAGCCAAACTCAGGTCCTTTAGCTTACTGAGCAAACACTACCAACAGAGCAAATGACTCAGCTCAAGCAAGGTTTCAAAGGAGAGACAGTATGGTAAGATACATTTTAGCCTACCTGTGTGGATACCTGTAAACAAGACTGTTGTGTGGGTCCCCACTGGGAGCCCAGTGTCCTCTAGCGTGCAGGAGCCCTGTAGATGGCCTCTTGGGACATGGCAGCAGCTGGCCCAGGACTCTTCTTCCCCTGCACTACCCTGGTGCACCAGACACTGGCCTGCTTGCTTTAAAAAATACAGAACCGTGAAGGTGACTGCTGTTCCTGAGTACCTGGGCCAGTTGGACAAGGTCCTGGGTCCATGCTGGAAGCCGCTCTAGGGACTCCTACCTACCCATGAACTAAGAGTTTCTGACACCATGCCGCTTTACAAAACCCAGCTCCATTAAAAAATCATTATCAGTGTGTTAGAAAGCAGAAAGCATGTCTTGCCTTTGAGGCTGGTATTTGTTATTTGTCTCGTTGTCATGACAAAAGCAGCATGAGGAAGAAGGGGTTTTTGAGGTCACAGTGTGAGGCTGCAGCCATCATGACAGAGAGGGTAGTGCAGGGCTCTGAGGAGAAACATGGGGCAGCTGGTCACACAGTGTCCTTAGGAAGCAGAGAGATGATGGTGGCATCCACATTCAGGGTGGGTCTTCCCTCCTTGGCTAAGTCTCTCTACAGATACCTTCACAAACTTAGCCAGAGGTGTGTCTCCCAGGTAACACCCAATTCTGTCATCATCTTGATGATGAAGACCACTGTGCATCTAATTTCAGTTTATAATAAGGACTTTTATCTTTTGTTTGTTTGTTTGTTTTTAGATCTCACTCACTGCTTATTCCCAGATGTATAGAGCTCTGAACATAGAAGTAGATTTTATTTCCTCCCTCCCTGGGTGGCTTGTGAATAAAGAGCACTTTACCTGTACCTGTAGAATCTCTGTTCATGAAAAACTAAAATGTGTTTGTTAGTGTTTTCCAGAATGAATTTCCGTATTGGCCCTTAGAGTGTCCTATAAAGGTGTGAGACCCTCGTGGGTGCAGGGGAAAGGACAGCATCAGCCCCTTGTATGAGCCAAAACACTACCCTGTGGCATGCTTCCAGAAATGGCCACTGTCTGAATTTCTTTCTGTCCCCTCCCTTCCATCTCCTTTGTGCCCCTTTGTACTCTAATACAGGTAGTACTAGAATCATGGTGCTGTTGACAATTCTGTGAGAGGTATCAGTCCATGGTCTGTGCAGATCTCTAAAGTATAATTAATTGGTAGCCAGGCTGACTTAAGCTTCCTCCATGTGTTCGTGTCTTCAGTTGACAAGAGGAGTCTAAGAAAAGCTGGAGAAAGTGAGCCTGTCTAGCTCTACCTCATGCTAGAGGATGGGTTGTTAAAATAATAACACAGGTGAAGTGGGTACAGCTTGCCTAGCACATGTGGGGTTTGATCCCTAGTGCATATATACACAAACGCAAAAGCACTAGCTAACCACGTAATCAAAGGGAAGTGAGCTAACTAACCCCCTTTCTACCTGTGTCGTGACAAAGATAAGCAGAGTGAAAAGCCTCCGTGTCAGTTCTCTGTGTGTTTTTGACAGTGCCCTTCACAGCTGTCATGATATAGTCCTACGAAGAAGCTACTTGGGAAGCTGGGGCTTCAGTATTGTGGGCGGATATGAAGAGAACCACACCAATCAGCCGTTCTTCATTAAAACCATCGTCTTAGGAACCCCTGCTTACTACGATGGGAGACTAAAGTGAGTCTTGTATTCATTGATGATGTAGACATGATCTAGCTCAGGGTTCAGCACTCAGGGTCTGCTATCTGTTTTGTAAATAGTGTTATTTCAACACAGCCTCACTCATTTACGTACTCACCATCTGTGGCTACTTCCACCCCAAAGCTAAGTTGTTCTGTGCTGCAACTGTACAATTGGGCCACAGATCCCATCACAGGACCCCTGAGTGAGACTGAGTATTATATTTATGTAGACCAAATCTGAACCCATGTCATCTGAGTGTGTTACGGAACACTAGTGCCTCTGAGCATTTCCCGTAAGCTTGTGTAGCTCTCATGCTGTCCTCAGGTGAACCCACTGTATTTTTCCTGAGGCTCAGGGTCTGCCTGACTTTGTGTTCATGTGAGATCCATGAATGGGCAGTCATGGCAGTACCCTGTGTATAGTGAGTTCTCAACAAATGAGTGAATGTACCCTCTCTCACTTAGAGTTGTCGAGCACTCACTGAGAGCCGTGTGGTTATCTTGTGGGGCGGGGGTGTGTATGGGAGTGCAGCTGCCCATGGAGGTGTTGGAGCCCCTGGAACCGGAGTCACAGATGGTTGTGAGCTGCTTGTTGTGGGTGCTGGGAACCAAGCCCAGGTCCTCAGAAAGCAGAAAATGTCCGTACTGGGAGCCATCTCCCAGCCTTGGTTTGGCACTTCCTAGAGATGGCCTCACCAAATGAAGTTATTCTTCCTGTCCTTAAGTCCCCACCGGCTATGGGCATGTTGGCTCGGGTTAGTTTTGATTGGTAAAGGAGAGTGCTGACTTAGGAGTTACCCCTAGTTGCTAATACTCCTGGCTGCTACCGGCTAACCATTAAAATTGGGGTCTTGATGCTAACCCACTGGGACTTTGTTTGTGGTGCCATTGAGATAATGAGACTCTGCCTCTGTTTGTGTTTTATTCAGATGTGGAGACATGATTGTAGCCGTAAATGGCCTGTCGACTGTGGGCATGAGTCACTCTGCTCTGGTTCCCATGTTGAAAGAACAAAGGAACAAGGTCACTCTGACAGTCATTTGCTGGCCCGGCAGCCTCGTGTAGAGTCTTGACATTGGTTTCCAGTCTCGCTTCTTCCTGCAGGCTCTTGAAGGAATCCCCTCTGCTGTGGCATTTCTACACAGCTACATACACAGGGCCAAAGCACTAAAAATCACCCCTGTCCCCTCTCCTCAGACATGAGCTCCCACTAGCCCCAGGAGCTTATGTCTGAGATGTGGCCACCGTCTGCGGCAGTGCTCCGAGCCCGCCAAGACCGTCACCCAGCTGGATGGAAGCAGCTCCCCATGCTGCAGAAGCTTGGTCATTAAATGATTTCCATCTGCAATTCCTGCATCAGTGGCAACTAGCAGCATCATCTGCAGAGTCCCCTGCCCTGTGAACAGTGCGACAAGTGGCTGCGTTTTAGGTTTTGCTCATTTTCCATTGGTGCCAACATTTCAAGACTTTTTATACCATTTATAAAGTGACTTTTTGAGTTGTTTCTACGTTAACCTTCAGTGCTTAAATGAAGACATAAATCTGACCCCACTAATGAGATTTCTTTTCAAATAATGTACTGTAGTTAGAACAATAGAGAATCAAAAATAATGCTATTCAGGGACAGAGAGGCCTGGGAGGGGACTGTCCTGGGCTGGCAAAATGGCCCAGGAGCACCAAGATTCTTTTCCAAAGGAATGCTTTGTTAAGTAGGAAAAGTTTGAAGATGTTCTTGTAAAAGTTATTTCTAGAGTTTATATTTATCAGCAATCTTGTCTGGAGATGTTTTTGTGATTTATGAAATTGAACTAGGTGATTGAAAACCATTATTGTGTTAAACACACAACACACACACACACACAGCTAAGTTGAAGGGGAGCCTTTGATTTTGTTCCTATGTGTTTTAGAAGTCCTTAGTTTCCCCCAAGAGACCAATAAGCTCTGTTTGTTTTGCTTTTTTAATCTGAAATATATTTTAGATGATAATATCTTCAGCTGTTGGTCACTAAACTTTCTTTTTTCTTTTTTTTTTTTTTAAACTATTTGTCCTTTATTCAGCATAGTCATCCCTTAGAAGGCATTAATGAGAGGGTAAACAAGAGGAAAAACGTCTTTACCAGGTTAATATTTATACTTGAAAAGCTTCATTTAGAAACCTAGTTTGAAATCAGAGCTTATATACAAGTGACTTCTGAGATAAATGGCATTGATAATCAGAATATGGGCTGCAACATGGCGCTGGGGTGAGCTTTGTATCTGTATCACTGATTATTCCACAGAAATTTATATATATTTTTAAAAAAAAAAAACAAACCTCTTTGTGCTAAGGCAACTGCAGTTGCTACTGGCTTGTTTACCCCTTAGCTGCCCATGGCGGCCATGCAACCAGCCCACCAGGGGAGGGATGCCCACAGGTGTAGCGCTAGCTGTTGCTGGACAATCGCCTGTGAAGCAATTTGATACTGAAGTGCAATTGATGTGAAACAATGTTTCCCGCTCCCCAGATACAATTTTGTAACCAACCTGCTACTTTTTAAAGACTGTAAGTTTGTCATTCCTTTGGGGAGTGGCCATCATCCAACAGTGTCGTTAACTGCCACTTTGTTATACATAAAAACAAATCCAACCTAGTGGTCTGATGAATACTTTTACAAAACAAAACAAAAGGTGTTTTTCAGTATTTTTCTCATGAAAATCTCTGAGAGAAAATGCTGGCATTCCTTCAGGTGCTCGGAATGGCAGTTTGCTCCTGGTCTGTTACTGTTGAAACCTTCGCACTTGCTCATTTAAGCTCTTGCAGTTGAATTTTTCAGTTTGTCCTGTGCCTTCAGTCTACACTATTCCCGAGTTTTTCAGCTTCGTTTAAATAATGGTGTGATGGTTGTTCTGGATGGAAATAAACGCTGTCCTTTTTAGAGCAGTGCAGGGTTCATCTGAGAGCAGTGTGCTTGTTCACAGAGCCCCTGACCTCACTGTCTGCTGCATCTTAACCCTACCACACCCATCTCCTGCTCCCACAGACAGAACAGGCACCACAGAGCCTGCCCTGAGTTACACATCTCACAGCCACAGCACCTCTGACCCTATGCTGTCTGTCGGGTGTATGGCTGTTGAATCCCTGAAGCATGGCCTTGCAGTGTGCTGAAAAGACAGCATCTTGGGTGCACTGGGTTATACTAGGTAATAGAGAATTTGTTAAGATTAATGTACACTATGAAGATTAACTTTACCGATTTCTTTTTTACTTTTTGAAATGTGATTCATTAGAAACACTGTAATTAATTTAATTATAGTTACAGCAGGAACCCACGTTGTGTTTCCTTGGCCCAGCATTCACCATGCCAGGCAAGCCTGACATGTGGCTTCTGTCTCCTCTGAGGGTAAACCCTCGGAGGATGGAGAGGATGGCTGCCAGGTGGGTGCGTTGTCCTGGCACTGAGGATGTGTGCTGTCTGATATTTGGTTCTGTCACACTGAAAGGTGAAGTTATACCTTCATTTTACAGTTGCCCAGATTCTGGTGAAGCTGTGCAAGTTCTCGAAGTTCAGCCACCCTGGAACCCTCTGGGGAACCCTATTGCATGGTTTTTCTCATGAGCCATTTGTGTTCCTACTGCTTTATAGAAATCACCAACACTGTGTAGTGGGTGATTTTTGGTGCAAATATCTCACCCCACTTTGTTTGTTTGTTTTTGAGACAGGGTTTCTCTTTGTAGCCCTGACTGTCCTGGAACTCACTCTGTAGACCAGGCTGGCCTTAGAGTGCTGGGATTAAAGGCATGCACCACTGCCTGTCTTCTCTCTTTAATTTTGAAATTCAATGATCATCCAAGTTCCTCATCATAACCTGACGAATAGGTAATAAGCACATACGCAGATCCTTTTTACCCACATCATCTGCCAGGGGTTGTCCCAGAAGGTTCCTTTGATTATTGCATTTTTTATGCCTTTCATCTTAGGTGTGCTTCTGGTTTACTCCAAACTTGCCTCAGACTAGCTATTTGGGCTAATCAGCTTCAGCTGTCACCTTGGCACAAACTACAGTTACCTGGGAAGAGGAAGCCTCAACCGAATGAGGAACTGCCTTTGTTTAGAGTGGCCTCTGGCTGCGCCTGGGCAGCATTTTCTTGATTGAGCCACTGATTGGTGCAGGAGGATCCAGCACAGTGGCCCAGGCCGCCAGTGCCGTCTCTGGACAGGTAGGCCGGGGCTGTGTAAGAAGGCTAGCTCAGCAGGCCAGTAAGCAACGCTTCCGTCTCCAGGCTGCCTCTGATCAGAGCCATTGTGGCAGTTCCTGCTCATCCCCTCTCTGGATTGACTGCTGGAATTCTGCTGCTCAATCGGAGTTTGGTCAGATTGTTTACAAACCACATCAATACTGGAAAAGTGGCACAAACACAGTACATGAGGTGAGCATAACCATAGCATCCCACGGAGTGGAGTGGACAGTGTGTTCCAGCCCAGGGCACCGCCACCTCCTCGAGTGTTGCCTGAGTTCCTTTTCCAGCTAGGGAATGGGGTGTGACAGAGAGTACCTGCAACAGCCTTTTGATTTTATTAGACACCCAGAGAAATGGAGGAAGAATCGGCATGCATTAGTCAGCTTTTTTTTTTTTTTAACTATTATAAAACAAGATAGCCAGAGCCAACACCTCAGACGAGAAATGGTGGATTTAGGGCCATAGTCTCAGATGTCAGGCTCTTGCTTTGGGGCCTGTGGCATGATGCTGTCACCTCACATCAGATGGTAGCAGGAAAAGGACAGGAGCAAAGTCCCACCATGGAGGGCATGCTCCCCACCGACATACAACTTCCTGCCCATGCCCCACTTCTCAAAGGTCCTACAGCCAGTAGTACCAGCTGCCAGGCACCAAGTGTCTGAGGACATGTGGGCCTCTGGGGACACTTACCCAAGCCACAGCCGTTGATTTAGAGGGTTTAATTTTCTTAGTGTACTGTGCAATGTGACTGGGTTTTCAAACAGCCAAATCCTCCCTGTGCCCCAGCTGTTAATCTTCTCTTTCTAATTCCGGTACTTCAGAATTTGATTTTTAGTTCTCTGTGCTTTACAGCAGGCTGCAGTACAATTCCTCGGATGTTTGATGCTTAGTCAGATACGTGGATGATTAGCATTCAGTCTGAACTTTGCACACCTGGGTTTCAGCTTCCAAGAGTGTTTCTCCCTTTCCTCAAGCCTTGTGCCCACATCACAGTGCAGCAATGTCCCATCCAGATTTAGCTAGGTCATGATCTGAAAAGTGCAGAATTGCAATAATGAGTATCTTTATTGTGCTGGCCCAAAGAGGCCAGAAGAGGGTATCTGACCGTCCCCTGATGCTGGAGTTCAAGCGCTTGGGAGCTGCCCAATGTGGGTATTGGGAATTGAACTCCAGCCCTTTGAGAACAACAAATGCCCTTAACCATGGAGCCATATCTGTAGCCAACAGTAAGTATCTCAAATAGACATTTAAAAAAAAAAAGGGTGGCCAGGTATGGTGGCACACATCTTTAATCTCAGCCCTCAAGAAACAGAGGCAAGAGGATCCCTATGAGTTTGAGGCCAGCCTGGTCTACAGAGCAAGTTTTAGGACAGCCAGAGTTACATAGAGAAACCCTGTCTTGAAGAAAAGATGGAAGGTGGAGTATTTAAGGTGTACAATGACATTTCCCAAGTGCACACTGAAGTGGTCAACCCTTTACATACCATCTAAGCTACTTATCTAGCACCTGCCGCGTGCATGGTGTAGAGATTGTGACTTCTTCACGGGAGTAATTTTATAATTCGGCTTTTCTTCCATTTGCTCAGAGTTTGTGAACTTACCTGTCTCCAAGTCTCTTGTGCCTGGGGAAGGAAAGGTTTCAGCCCTTGGGAGTTCTTACCTAAAAGGCCTTTTGTCACTTTATAGTGTAAATCTGCTCTGCTTGGCTACACTACCAATTAATTTCTATGGCAACACAGAAGCTCTTTAGAAGTAAAGTTGTGTGTCTAAGCACAGTGCCTAATAGCTCCAAAGTGCCTGAGTCAGAGAAGCTGAGCTGTCAATCACATACAAGAAAGGCCTATGCCAGGAGACCTGACACGGCATGGCGTTGGCAGAGTCGGGCTCCCTCCAGCAGGAAGCGCTTCAAGGTTTCCCACAAGCTGTTTTGGAGACTTGGATCAGTACTTCCCATTTAAGAGCTTCCCATTTAAGTCAGTGAATCCAACCACTGCCCACTTCCTTGGGCTACCCAAAGACTGACCAAGAGTGCTTTGAAGCATCAATTGCATGAATTGCATAGGCCCTGGATGAGAGAGAGAGGTAACAGTTGTCCAACAGCAAAATTGGGAGGATGGAGGTGGTGGCTGTTAATAGAATTTTTCTTTCCTTTTTTTTTTTTTTTTTTTTTTTTTTTTTGCCCCTTGCATTATTGAAGATTGAACTGGGGGCCTAACACACGCTAGGCCCTACCACCAAATTACACTGCCATCCCCATTTTTAGTCTTTATTGATTAATAAACTTTTTAATTACTTCTTTGATGATTGCATATATATGTGTGTGTGTGTATATATATATACATATGCACACACACACACATATATATAATCAAAATACATTAGGTTGTATATATCCATGCATATTAGGGGTATATATATCCACATATATCAATGTGTGTGTGTAATTATATTAACCCCCATTATTCCTTATCTCTTTCCCACCTCCCACTAAACTTTCCAAGAAATCCCCTTTCATGGTTTCAGGCGTGGATGTGCCCCATTGCATTTAATTGGGGTTGCTGACATGAGTGTTATTTACTGGAGGAGGATCAGCTTACCTGTGGTTGCAACACTGATCCCCCCCCCCACTCCCACCCCAGCACCCGTTAACTGTCATTCCTCAGGGAAGCGTGGCCTTCACCCTCCCTATTCATGGTGGAATGGAATGTTAGTGGGATAATACCCACCATTGTGAGTGCATGGGTGTGACCAGCACACTACCTCCAGAAGATTGCATGTCACAGCAGTTCACCCATCCACCAGCTGGCTTCAAGGAAGTTTACTCTTCACTTTGGGACAGGATCTCAATAAATTGCCCAAGCTGATCTTGAATTTCTATAGCCCAGGCTGGCCTTAAACTTGTCATCCTCCTGCCTCAGGCTCATGACCACCTGAGCTTGCAAGCTTATGCTTCAATGCCTGGCTAAAATAAATATTTTCATTTTATAAAAATTTTATTGTGGGCTGGGCAATGGTGGCACAGGCCTTTAACTCCAGCACTTGGGAGGCTGAGGCAGGTGGATCTCTGAGTTT